TCTTTCTGGTTAACCGATTTCACTCGGTTCCAGTCCCTGTGTGCATTTCACTCCTGGCGCTATTTCTCAAGGGCGACCAAAACAGAGGCTACAACATCTTGGTCTTTATATCTTCATATTTAGTTTAGTTATTCTACATATTTTTTCACACTAGCTTATATCTTTACTTGTCGCAGAGCTAAGGCAGTCTTGAGAAGCCTCAGAACTATGCCCAAGATTCTAATTTCAATTGCCTACAAACTAAAGGGGCTCAAACATTCTGTTGCGTTCATATATCATTGTTTCCAAAAGGTATCCTTACAGGATTATAAACCTGTTCATGAATTACATTACCGTTCGGCTATAGTCTGACTATCATTTATTTACAGGGAACAATTTATTGCGATATGCTTAATTTTTATTCACTAGTGAATTCAATAATATTAATAATAAGTTGTTTTAGTAGCATTTGAAATTTCACTATGATTGTACTCAATTGCTTCTTCGATCCACGCCAACATTTGTGCTACCTCACAATTAAGTTAAGTGGCTTTTGACCACAAATCTTGTTTCTTATTGAAGTTATACCTTTCCTTTGACCTATTGGATCTCTAGTCTAGTTGTGACTTTATATTACATAATTCTTTCAACATCTAAATTAATCATGCTGGTCATGGGGCCTATGTTCACTGTTAGGCCTTTGACTTAGCCTAAATAGTTTTGTTTTTATTTTTAATAAAATGGGCGAACTTTGTTTCATATTATGTTGCTGCTATTGCAAGAGGATAATGCGAATTTATCAGAAAGAGAGTAGGGATGCTACTTGGATAATCCATATTTACAATATGCCTGTAAGCTTAGGTGGATGTCATCCTAATCTGATGGCTGGTGCCAAGAAGAGTCCTACTTCACTTTATGCTTTACTCTGGCTAAAGAGAAAATTAAACTAATGGTCCTTCATCACCTTAAACAAAGGACATCTCTTATAAAGAGAAAATTTCCACTCATTTGCTTAATTACTTGATTAAAAAAATATGACCTAGCGCCGAGACTATATTGACATTGTAGCTAAACCGAATAACCATTAATCTGCAAATAAACATTGTGTGCCGGATACCCGGCAATTCTTTCTTTAACTTCGCTCCCAAAAGTATTTTTGAAATTCTATTTCCTCAGATGCCGTCTGCTGACATTGTTATAAACCGCTGCGTCGGGCAGGGTGCCTTCGGCTTGGTCTACGGAGGTGAAGCAAAGCGTAACGGTCGTTGGCATGCAGTTGCTGTGAAAAAGATCAACAACAAAGCTACTTATGAGGGAAAAACAGATTTTCTTTCAGAGGCGAGGCTTATGCGTCGACTTAATCACAAGAACGTAGTGCGACTAATTGGTGTATGTCTTCATCCAAAAGACAAAGATATTCTTCTTGTAATGGAGTTTATGCTGTTAGGCGATCTCAAGTCATACTTGTTGGGCCGACGAATTTTGGCTCAAAGGTTGGTCCGGAGCTCTATTTACAGTCATTTGTGCATTTAGGGATAAGTGATCACTTGTTCGATAAGTGTTATAGGGATCTCTAATTGACTTCATTTTATTTAATAAATTAAATAAGTGATTTTGTCATCGAATTTGATCGTTGTTTGTTAATATCCTAAACAGGCCGAATTTTGAACAATTCCAGATGCCATGCAATTTCAACTTCGAATTCTCATCGTAACTATTGTATGCATTTGCTTCAGGCTCGTTAAATTTTCATAAATTATTACTTACATACCCAATCCCTCAAGCTGCATTTTTTCGTTACTATTTTTAATCTAATTTTACATACCGAGATTACACATAAAACTGTGGTTTTCCGGGCCCCTTGTATTCAATGAAGTAAAATTCCATTAACTCTGCAATAATGTCAGTTTCTTTCATAACGAATTGCAAATGAAATTTTTACAGTTAATTATAAAATTTGATTTTATACTTGTGAGTACACCCATTAATATAGGATACTGGGATTAATATTTGACACAGGATGGATAGGAATTCTATTCATTGCTAACCATTAGCTGGTCTCTGCTATCCGGGATCACAAATTTGTCATGATATGGATAATTGGGATAGTACAGTTGCTGGCACTAATACTACCTACAATAAATAATAAAACTTCATTTTGTATTGAATCTTGTGTTATCCCTTTGCATTCTTTTGCTTTAATCTACCCTTCATCTGTATACGTGAATTTCAAGATAAATCAGGCCCCTTCAACTTATATGTCCGGTACTTCCTTATCGTCTGTATACTACTAAATCTTTTTGTTAATGAGAAATTTAAATTTCCATTTGGTCTCAATACCCTAGGTCATGATAGTC